CGAAGGGCTCATGTAGAGCCTTGTAGTACCTCCCGTGGAACTCCTTCTCCTTCCATACGGTCTCCCGGTCGGAAATGCTAAGCACTGCTGGGTCCTGCCATTGCTCGTTGGCTAAGGATAGAGGGGTAAGCCCTTTATCACTAGAAATGACGTCATTATAGAATGGATCATCCGATCTCGCCAAGAAGTATTGACGGAGACTGCACACTTCGCTTATGCATGGTGAGCGCGCTCAGAAAGCCACGCATACCATGCTTTCGCGGCAAGTACAGCCTCATTACCGACGATTTCGGATGATGCATCATATGGGACGTCATGGTAGTGCGGACTTTTCTATCCAGGGCGTTAAGCTCAGTCTGAGTCCACCTGAGTATGCCAAAGGTATACATGAGGACAGGCATGACCCAGCTGTAATATGCGTGCGACTTATTCACACCGGACAAAAGGCTGTTAAGCACTTTGGTCAAGCGTGCATAAAACACGTCGCAAACTGACTGTTTCATACCAGCCTCATCGATACCGATGTTCTGTGACATACCCAGGTATCGCTATGTTTTAATCTCGGAAAGGGTCCTTAAGTTGACGGGCATAGACAAGTCTATGCCCTCAGAGTTAGCAACCCTTCCCCTTTCAATGTGTAGGACCGCACACTTATCCGTCCCCAGCTCCATTCCAATGGAACTGCTAAATTCACAAGTGATGTTTGGCAGTTCCGTAAGATGGGAGCGACTGGAGGCGAATAACTTGAGGTCATCCATATAGAAAAGGTGGGTCACTTTTGTCCCTCCTTTCCGTAGCTGAAATCCCTTCCCGGAGCCCTCCAGTAAGGTACTGAGAGGGTTCAGAGAGAGGCAGAACCAGATTGGACTCAAACAATCGCCCTGGATGATACCCCTTCTTATTCTTATGTGGTTCTCCGCAGCCATCATCCGCTCGCCCAGATGACAAAGGATCGTACTCCACTACCCCATACACTACTCGAGGAAGTCTCTAACTGTACAGTCAATCTTGTACAGCTCGAGGACCCTCTTTAGCCATGTATGGGGCACAGAGTGGAACGCCTTTCTGTAGTCTATCCAGGCGGCAGAGAAGTTCCGACGGTTGCGTTTCACCACTTTGCCTATGACCGCGTCAATGAGGAGTGGTTCCTTGGTTCCACGACCACCGCCCCGACATCCATTTTGAGCGCGTGACATCACCTGGTTTAGCTCCAGGTGACGAGTGATTCTCGCGCTCAAAATGGATGTCAGTGTCTTATATATGGTGAGTAGACACGTGATGGGGCGGTATTTGCTCGGGTCTGTGGTATCCTGATCTTTAGGAACCAAGTGAGTGATCCCAGTAGTGAAGAGGCTCGTGAGCGACTTCTGGTCGAGAGCTCCTTGAAACTGTCGGGCGAGCACAGCGTGACACACTATGAACCCCTTCAGCCAGAAATGATGCAGCCCGTCGAGCCCCGGACTTTTCCAGTTCGGGGCCCTACGGACCGCCTCAGCCACGTCTTCCGGCATTATGGTGATGGGATCCATAGGCGTAACACTCGCACCCTGGCTCGCCACAACTTCCATCCAAGGGCCCTCCCTGTGGTTTACGGGCTCTGACCACGGGCCATGCCAGAATGCGATAATGTCAGCCTGATCCGGTCCTTGGCCCGCTCCACATACCTTTGGTCGCTCCAATGATTTATAGAGCCTCTTCTGATCACTCTGGAAGAGACGATTCTGGTTGAACCGCCTTGACCTCTCGGTAAATCGTCGAATCCGCTTCCCCCAAGCAGCGATCTTTTGCTTCAGGCCGTCTATGCGCTCCGTTAGTTTCTGCGTGATATCCGGCTAGGATAAACTGATATTTGTCCCAGCAAACGCCATCCTAACGGTGCGTACAATCCTCGGTCTATTATTACCCGACCTGAAGCTTGTCAGTCTGCCGATAAGGGCTCTTGCCTTTGCGATACGGTCCTCGATTCTTTTTCTCGAGGCTGGGTGGCGCTACTTTGTGTAGTAGCGCGTCTAGGTATGGGAAGTTTGGCGCCAATAATACGGCAAACTGCCACTGCGGCGCCAAAGAGAATTGAGTCCGTTTCGCAAAGGTCCTGGCTGGCTTCGAAATAGGTCACCAGCATTGGGTTAAAAGCCCTCACGACAGCCCGATTTCGTTTGCTTAGGGGTATGCGGGGAAGTCGCGGTCGATTTTCGAGAGGGGTGCTGCGCGTTTCCAAAATCACCTCTTCCAATATACTCCTCATTTGCTCTAGTTCGTGGGAGACTATTTCATCGTCGTTTGAATCAACCACAACTGGAAGATCCATAGCAGCTTCCACGTGTGGATGCTGGTCTGTCGGATGTGGAGCTGCATCTCCAGCCATAGCCGTTTCATTCGACGATGGAATAGCCTCACGTCGTAGTCGTTCGAGTTCGGCATCATCAAATATTTTCGAGCGCATTATGTACCGAACTCGGTCTGCCAGGTTTTGTTCCGTGACGAGGATAGAAGGCTCCAGCTCAGCAAAAAAAGCAATGCATCAGAGCCCTATACGCTATTCCCACATTTTCTTCCCCTTTCGCCCTATAGTACGCCCGCAATGCGTTTTCGTTCATAGATTTTGTCCAACGCATGCGACGTGCTCCACCAGCGGCGGGTGTCGCTTGCTGAGTCGGAGAATACCCAGCCGACACCAAGATTTAAATTATTTAATTTCCAATTATTATTACTATTATTATGGGGTATCTATATAGTTTTCTCATCTGGTTGGGTTCTATAAATATATAAATGAAAATGAAAAGATAAATATATTATTATTATTATTATTATTATTAAATATATTATTACATTAATATAATAATTAATATTAATATTTAGAAATATACTTTTGCTGCATATTTAAATTATATTAATAAAGTGACATTTCTTCAAATATTTGGCCATGGTTCGAAAATACGCGCACGCTTGACTAGCCTCCTCAACGTTTCTATCGTGATTATCGGCTGTTTATTTGGTCCGATGCTACACTCGGGTAGGTTTACTTAGAACCATACCAAGTTTGACGTGTTAACAGTCAGACCGCACGGACATGTAACAAAAATATTTTTTGTCGACAGACTATACCCTCTACATGAACAGATTTAGAACTGAGTGGAGCAAATCCGTTGTTCGGCGCGGACCAAATTCGATTGCCTGTTAACACTCTAAGATAACGAGTTCCAATGCCCGTTAAAAGAAGTAACGCTGTTGAAAATAACGTGTATATTTAAACTATATAGCGTAACTTTCTGTGTAGTGGCGCTGTAAGAATATCCACTTCCCGTATCATCCTGTGGGTGTCGTAAGTGGCAACACAGGGAAACAGAAACAGGAGATGAGCAGCAGCGTCTTCCTGATAGCAACTCAAAATAAAAAGAAACTGCAATTGCTAACCCGCCTCCCACGCGTGGCAACCATGGGAAAATCCTCTATGGAATAGTCTATAGGGGAGGCCTATGTTCAGCTGTGGACATTTATAGGTTGTAGTGTGTAGATTTTGGGTCCGGTTACACTTATGTAATAAGTTAAACTTTCTGGGTTGAGTTTAGTTTCATTTTTCATTTGGTAAATTCCTTCATTTTGTTAGTATTTTTAATATTCATTTCAATATAGTACCTCATACTGTAGTACCTATAAATGCAGACGGAGCTTGCTTATTTAGAGCGATCCTTATCCGTTGAATGGGAACCAAGTATTGGCTAGAGAAATTCGGGTGCAAATTATGAATTACGTTACTGAGGTCATTTTGTTGAATAATATAAATCGGTAAGTTGTAAAATCGTGGATTGTTATGAATTGATTGATTAAAATAATTTAATTCAATATTGTTAATCTTATATATTTAATAATTAGTAATAAATAGTTAGTAGTAGTTAATAAATATATTATTAGTTAATATTTTATTTTAAAAGTTATATTCTTCATCCATCCATGCGGTGCGTTACCGCGCAAAGCGGAGACCGACCGCGGATAATGTATTCTATCTCATTCTCTCGCAGGTTAAATCCTATTGGTATATTTATATATTTGTTTCTTATTACTGCCGCTTTCTCGTTTCATCGAATTTCAATCTAGTTACGCCGACTACACCTGGATAGGATCTATTAATGTGGCGCGTAAATTGAATGTCAGTATATGACGTTCCGTTACAAAACTAAGATAAATTAAAGATCAAATTTCTGTCGTGCATTCAGTCCATTATACGGCCAACGAACGACAAAGACAGGATTTTACGGCATTATACGTACAATGAGCCCATTACACGCACGTCTAGCACTAAGTATAAATGCATGGGGGTTTTATTACATGTATTTATTTTTAAGGCTGGGTTTCTATATCAGCTATACAAGCGAAGCTAATCAAACACAAATCGTATCGATTGAATCAATCACAAAGCTAATAATTTTTGTGCATTAATTATAAAACTTTTCAATTGCTTAAATTTTAAGTTCTGAAAGCAATAGACATTAGTCAGACATGCTATCAGTATAGCAGCGGATAGCAGAGGTAATTGAATGTGCAGATTAACTTACATGTACTTATTACATATGTCTGGCGGTGACACGCTCTATTCACATTAAGCTTAATGGATTTGTTATAAGCGTATTTGCAGCTTTAAGCTTAAGAGGTTTCCTTGGAAGAGAAAATATAGTTACGCATATTATAATAAATTTTGGAAGTATTTGATTATTCTTTTTTATTACAGTGTGGAGTATGTCCACCGTGTCCAGCACCATGCAACCCTAATGCACCTCCAGTGAGTATGGACACCTTTATTTTTTTAATAATCATGAAGGCTGTAGCTACGAAACCGAGTGGACCAGCTCGATCCTGAAAGGACTTGGTTATTAATCTAGAATGTAGATGTCAATGGAACACAGTATCTATTTACCATCAGGTGGGCAGTGTGCATATTTCATGCTCTTGTATAAAAAAAATTCTCAGCACCAATCATCTTTGATAACAGTGATATTTTCCAAATGATTTTGGATATGTTAAAGGCTATCGATAAGCGAAGTGTAAGTATGCGCGCAAATATGAAGGGCTACACAGGTTTTACTTTCATACAGATATTATAAAGGTTTGGCTATAATTTAAAAAGAAATTCTTATTACAGACACCGGCTGAAAAAGAAGTACAAAAGCTCTCTTTACAATTACAACAGACTCAAGAAAGCTTCAAAACTAAAGTTACAGAGGTAATTTTTATTTTAATTGCGTGCAGGATTTACATGGAAAATTATTTGTAGGTTCAGGTAAACTTTCATATGATGGGTGAATATGGTTGGGTTGTTATTTTGTGGAGTTAACCCACCATAAAAGCTCATGAGTTTTATGAGATGCTATGAGATTGATCATATCTTGGAATGTGGAGGTAGTGTCAATGGAGACATGTTGCTGGTTCTAGGCTCAGTGGTGCAATGAGTTGCAGCGCTGAGGGTTGATGCGAGATTCGAATCCCGCACGGAACAAGTATTTGTGTGGCCTACAAGTAATTGTTCCGGGCCTGGATGTTTGTCCTTGTGAAATTCTTGTATGTAATCTGCCCTCAGGACTTCATGAAGTAACGTTTTTCTTTAAAAAAACGATGTTTAATTACTGTAACCGTATTTATTTCTCAGTGGCGTAACATGTGCGTTTGCGTACATTCGTGTGTATGTGTGTTTCTCATTTTTATTTATTATCTTTATTTATGCTACTAACTTAGTAATATTTAAATCTTAAATATTTAATAAGAGCAATATCTACCCTCATAATTTAACTTAAAAGTTTGACCCTAGGCAGTTGCCTATATTCGGCAGCAGGGTTGTAGGGATGTAATGATGATGATTTTGAATACAAGTTAGGCAGTTTTTTTTCTAAATGGTGCTCCTGAATCTACCCCTAGGGCCATGACACTACTCTTGCTACGCCATTGGTTACGAAGCTAATTTAAAAAATTATTAATACATTTCACTTTAAAAAGGACTGACATTCGCGATTTATATTTGTTTCGAATAATATAGTATTACTTTAAATTTATCGAGCAAAGAAAACTTGCTGTTCTGAATTAAATATTAACTTTATGATTTTAGTGCGCGTTGCTTCGAACCGATCTTCTCAAGAAAAAAGAAGAATTGGAAAAAGAGCGTTGTCAGCATCGTGAAGCACAGAATAAGTTGCGGGAGTTAGAAATGAAGTTTGAGGGCCTGACGACGCACACAAATATGTTATTAGGTACAAAAGAGCAAGCACTTGAGCAAGAAGTGAACGTCAGAACACTCAAACAGTGCTATAGAGAAGCTAGGGAAGAAATCGATGAACTAAGAACTTTGATGAAAGAGCAGAATGACCAGCTTCAAGACTACAGAGTTAAAGTGAGTAACCTGGCTGAATAGAGTTGAAATATTTTCCTTGCTGTAAATACATAAATTATGTTTTTTTAACGTATTTTCATAATTTTATAGTATCTTCAAGCACAACAACTAGTAGAAGAACAAAAGCGTCAAATGGACATGATGGACATGGACAATACAAGGATAAGTGAACAGATAAACCTAGAGATACAGAAAGTGAAGGCAAGAGCTTTTGTTTATAGTTAATTTTATCATCATCATCATCATCATTACAGCCCTTCACAAGTCCACTGCTGAACATAGGCCTCCCCCAAGTAACGCCACAAAGCACGGTCCTGAGCCACCTGCATCCATCGACTTCCTTCATGTCTTACCAGGTCGACCCATCTAGTGGGGGGTCGCGCTACACTACGCCTACCGGTACGAGGCTGCCACTCGAGAACCTTTCTTCCCCATCGGTTATCGGTTCTTCGAGCTATATGGCCGGCCCATTGCCACTTCAGCTTACTAATCCGTTGGGCTATGTCGGTCACTCTGGTTTTACTGCGTATATCCTCATTTCTGAGCCTATCACGCAGAGAAACTCCGAGCATAGCCCTCTCCATAGCTCGCTGAGCGACCTTGAGCGTCCTCATACGGCCAGCAGTGAAGGACCACGTCTCAGATCCGTAAGTCATCACTGGTAACACGCACTGGTTATACACTTTAGTTTTCAGAGATTGAGGTATACCTGACGAGAAGATGTCTCGTAATTTCCCGAACGCTGCCCAGCCGAGTTGAATCCGTCGATTGACCTCTCGGTCGAAGTTGGACTTACCTAGTCGGACTATTTGTCCCAGGTAAATGTACTCGTCTACAACTTCAAGCATAGTGTTCCCAACAACTACCGACATAGGTGTGACATGGACATTAAACATGATCTTTGTTTTGTCCATGTTCATCTTAAGACCTATGCGTTGGGAGACACCATTGAGGTCATTGAGCATAGTGCTAAAGTCCTCCAGCGATTCTGCCATAAGGACTATATCGTCGGCAAATCGAAGGTGAGTGATGTACTCGCCATTGATGTTAATACCTAGGGTTGCCGTTCTACAAATTTTAAAGTCCCTAGACTAACAGAAAAAATCCGCCAGAAACAGGATTTTTCTTTTTCTTAAAATCCGCTAGATGTCCCTAGGTACATTTTCGTGGTACCGTTGGTCTAACTAAAAATCTTACCAAATGATTGAATGAAATGAATACCGAAAATCTAAATCTATACATTCAGAAAACCTTAAAAAAGGGCGGACTCTATTTCATATAAATTAATTATATATAGTGTAGGTTAATGACACGACAACCAAAACAAAAAGTATTCATGTACAAAATAAAAAATATTGTAAAAAAAATAAATCTCTTTAAACATTAGTCATCTTACTAAAAATAAAACAATTAGCTCAGTACGTTCTTGTACCTAAATTTCAAAATCATAGTTTGCTTTTAACTACATTCATGGCACCAAATACGCGTTCAAATTCTGCATTTGAGTGCGGTAGTGATAATATTACTATTGAAAAATTACATAATTGGTATACACTGATATCGTGATTCTTAGCGTTACTTAGTATGCTAGCTACAGCAAGCATGTGTTGCGCGCGTTTGTGGCCCTGTATGCGGAATCTATTAGGAGGTTATCTGTGCACTCTATATATATATAATAGTCTCCTCCTCCTAATAGATTCCGCATACAGGGCCACAAACGCGCGCAACACATGCTTGCTGTAGCTAGCATACGAAGTAACGCTAAGAATCACGATATCAGTGTATACCAATTATGTGACCCGTAGGCACGTCCGAGTTCTTGAAAATTTAAAATAGTCTTGTATCCAAAATACATTACAAATAGCTTCCTGTGCAGTAAAATCGTGTGGCAAGTCAGCTTAGACATTCAGTTATCAAAAAAATGGCATAACATTTCATCGGTAAGTAAATTCTATTCTTATCACTTTAACCTATTTCAAATGCACTGGAGTTCAACTTATACTGGTAATCTAATGGTGCAAAGTGATAACAATTAAGCACCCGTTGATGTCTTTTTAAAATGTACCTTTCACTCATTACGTAAATTACAGTAGTTGTCTTTGTCTAACGACAGCACGTGTATCGATAGTGTTGTGATTTATAAGTAGATATTTGTTTGGTCATCATTTACATTTTTTAAATTCATTATTTTATAAACATTGTGGTGTATCATTGTGATATCTATATGTTATAGGTTTCCTAAATGCCCCAAAGGAAAAAGATGTGGATCGACGCTACTTGTCGAGGAGACCAAGATTTCCCACCAAAAACAGTGTGCTATGTTCAAGACACTTCACAGAAGACAATCTTCATATATAAAAACTGTAGAAGGCAGTTGGATTCCGCTATAACATCTCTATACATGCCAGTTTTAGTATGGACTTTTACATTTTTTTAAAGTATAGTACCAATGTAAATTACACAATAAGTGATAGCATTAAGTGGTTGATTGAAACGTGATATTCTAATATTTAGGCGAATGTTACACGTTGAAATTAAACTATTTTTAACGGATTTATAAATCGTAAAACAAGTGAAAGTTATAACGTTATTATTGTTATTCTAGTGTTACATGAACTTCAGTAATATCTTATTATTATTAAGTACATCTAAATTTAAAACACGTAACGTATGGTTTATTAATTAATAATGCTACTTTTAGGTACAGCACTTGGCAAAAATACGGTCACCACCGAGAGGACATACCAGACCACACACAAAGGATTCACACCATTTTGTTAGTGAGTTAAAAGACCCACAACTCGCTGACAATGAAACTATGGTCAGTTTTGGTGTTCAGTCACTATTTACATGCCTACGTACTGAAGACTGCATCTCAATTGTAACTAGGAAACTAGAAAATAACAACATGCCTGCAGAATATGCAGTATTAATCAAACAATGCTTCACACAAAACAAGACTTCAAGATATTGTGAGCTCGTTCTATATAGATCATCTCGACCATGTAGATCCAAAAATCAATATTCAAAAACTGAAGGTAGCCGAGCTAAATATGTCGTTGAGACGTCAAACATTTCAGTTCCCCCCTCCCCCTCATGACCAGAAGTTATTTAAACGCGATAAAATCCGTATATACAGATTTATTCAATGTGTAGTGTTCGCGTAAATTTAAGAAATCATTAGATTACATGTACAAATATATATATATATATATATATATATATATATATATATATATATATTGTTTTATTTGTATACATTGTTTTATTTTTTAATTAATTTCAAATTAAAATTGATCAATTTAATTATTTATCAATAATGAATAAATCCCAAATTTATCGATCAACGTCCCAACCCTGTCCCATCACTATGGTTCGGAGCATTCTAAATTCAACCTTGAATTATCCAATCACAGCGCATTTGACACGTCCTTCGCAACTCATGCATGCCGCGGAATTCGGTGAAATCAAAACAGAACGAATATTCCATGATGCGGTATCTATTAGGGGGTAATCTGTGATAGAGTGCTACCAACGGTAGATTACAAAATTGGACATATGATAAATTACTTATTTGAAATGAATTACTTCATTAAAAAAAGTTGCCATCTCAAAAGTCCAAATGTCGCTAGAAGTCGCTAAATAATAATTTCTCTCTAAAACGATTTTTTTATCCGCTAAACATTATTAAAATCCGCTAGATCTAGCGAGAAAGTCGCTAAAACGGCAACACTGTTAATACCGTATCCTTTCCAGTCCAGTAGCTTGAAAACGTCTTCCAACGCAGCGGTGAAGAGTTTCGGGGATATAACATCACCCTGTCTTACACCTCTCTGCAGTTGGATAGGTTTCGAACTCTGGTTCTGTACTCGGATAGCCATCGTAGCCCTACTGTACAAACACTTCAGCACCTCGATATACCGACAGTCAACTTGGCACCGCTGAAGGGACTGTAGTACCGCCCAAATTTCGACGGAATCAAAGGCTTTCTCATAGTCCACATATGCCAGGCAAAGTGGTAGATTGTACTCTTCGGTCTTCTGTACAATCTGCCGCAGGGTATATGTGGTCTATGGTACTGAAGCCTTTTCGGAAACCGGCTTGTTCGAGAGGCTGGAAGTCGTCGAGTCTGCGTGCGAGACGATTCGTAATGACTCTCGAAAATAGCATGTAGACGCGGCTCAGAAGGGAAATCGGTCTGTAGTTCTTTAAGAGAGCGTTGTCGCCTTTCTTAAAGAACAAAACCACCGCGCTTCTGCTCCACGCCTCCGGAGTAGTGCCGCCGTGGAGGACGGAATTGAAGAGCTTCTGAAGGACTTCAAGTGCCGGTGTTCCACCCGCTTTCAGAAGCTCCGCTGTAATTCCATCCTCGCCCGGGGCCTTGCCGTTTTTAAGGTGTTGGAGAGCCATTCTAATCTCGCTCAGACTGACGTCCGGGATATCATCGGAATAGTGTCGGATAAGACTTGCTCTTGGATTGTTACTCACACTTGCGTGTGGCTCCAACGATGATGTGTACAGCTGCCCATAGAACCTCTCAATCTCACTCAGAATCTCAGGTGTCCCGGAAACGATGTTGCCATACTCAGTCTTCAGCTTTGACAGTTGGCTCTTTCTGGCAGACAGATCTCTGGCAAAGACTTTGGAGCCCTGGTTCCGCTCGATCGCTTCTTTAATACGAGAAGTATTAAAGTTGCGTAAGTCTCGCCGCATGCATTTGGAGATCTGTCTGTTCAGTTGCCTGTATGCTGTCAAATCCGATGTCGATGTGCCGAGATTGGTGCGTAAACCTGTATGACCTTCAGCGAATACCGTTTGGTGATTCTGAGTATCAGGTACGCGACCCTCGTCGACACACTCCCAATCTTTACAACGTTGTTGACGAGAGACTTGTGGACGATAAATCCGACACCTCCTTGGGACAGATGGTCGCCCTCCCGGTGATAGAACAAGTTGCCGGACTCGAGGATTGCGTGTCCCCTCTCTTCGGACCTCGGATAATCCAATAATATGCCAGCGCAACTTGTCTACCTCTTCTTCCAGCTCCAGTATCTTCTCGTCGGTCCACAGGGTGCGTGCGTTATATGTTGCCAGGGCGAGTTGTCGTAGGTGGCAACCGAACCTCCACCGGAGATTCTTAGCACCCCCTGCCCCGCCGTTATGGTCGCCACCGTAGCCAGGAATAGCGGGGCAGCCGGGGACTGGGGGCCGTCTGTTTGCGTCGTTATTCATGGGGGGATATTTGCCATAGTTGCCACGCTTGGCAACCGCAGTTTTTTATTACGTCACAGTTGTTATCAGGAAGATGCTGCTGCCCATCTCCTGCCTGTCTCCCTCTTTCGCCTCTTACGACACCCACGGGAAGATATGGGGTAGTGGATATTCTCAACCGCCACTACACGGTTAATTTTATAGTATGTTGTTTATAAGAAAAATGCATTAAGTAAACAAGTACGATATGATATTTTTTTAATATAAACGTATTTAGCTAATATATAAAATAGAATTGAACACTGGCAATAGTAGTTAAGAATAGATTTATTTATTAACAGATAAAGTTCCAAGAAAAACTACAAGAGTTAGCACCAATTCCAGATTTATTAAAGGCGACTCAGATGAGGTTAAAAGACGCGCAGCAGTCGCAAGCAATAGCCGAGCACAACGCGGAACAGTTAGCTAGGGAACTTAATTGCGCTAGAGAAAAGGTTAGTTAAAATTACGTTGACGGTATAACCAAGTAATTCAGTTAACATTTTCTAAGTAATTAACATTTATCCCTATTTTTTATTTCTTCATTCATCTAACGTATGAAATAAACATATGCTACCTCCATACAAATTTTTGAAAACATTTGCATCCAGAATTCACTCGCTTTGAGTTCCTGTATAATTTGAAGAGCTATGCCAGTAGTCAAAGAACCCGGATGGATCATTGTTCTCAGATCAATTTATTATATTACCTTTTTAGTACGTAAAAAGTTACAGCCTATATACGTCCTACTCCTGGGCACAGGCCTCCTCTCATTTATGAGAGAGTTTTAGGACAAGGAAGTGTCGGCGAACTTTACATGTCTTCGAAATATTTTTGTTTCTTAGATATGCAGATTTCCTCAGAATATTTTTCTTCACTGGCGAAAACGTGGTAAATCAGTACTTAAAATTGCAATTAACAATTTCATTGGTGCCTTCGAGAATCGTACCTGGGTTGCTTGCGTATTGTGAAATTTACAACGAGTGCTGAGCCACCACGGCTACCCGGCGCGGTAAATATTTATTGGCTCAAAATTGAACAAGTTTCTGTCTGTGTGTATGTTATTAATAACTACATAGTACAAGAGCAATGGTTAAATTTTAGGTTCATGTACTTTTGCATAATACTATAAAACCGCCGGAGAAACCTCCAGAGAGGACTGCAGATGAGAAACAAATGGCGCTGCTGAACCAAAGAATCTCACAACTAACAGAAACGAATATGAGCCTTAAGAATGAAATTGAGAGACTGAAGTGAGTAATTTTAATGTAGCCAAATACTCGTATGTAAAGGTTTTTTAAACAGAATAAGAAATGATTTTCAAAAAGACCCTTTTTTCAATTGTAAATAAATAACGCAACAACTGTTAAACGATTTAGGCCTTTATAGCCCACATGTCTTTCGATGGATTCTCTCATGAAAAGGATGAAATTATTTTTAATTTTATAGACATGTATGTTTTCCCACAGCCGCTGAGCACTGGTTAAAGCAGTATATATAGCAACTAACAAGTTTAGTGATGCCAGCGGAAATTGAATCTGCTTGCTTACTTAAGTACGCTCAGTCTTCACTACTACCCAGGCTCTGTTTAAAATATGGAAATAACTCAGAATTGTTACGGAAATGATCTTAAACAATTTGCTGTTGGATTGTTAAGTTTTTTTTGTTGTCTTTTTGAAAATAATTATTTAGACTCTTAGTTCAATAAAAAGAGTATTTCTGTGGTAAATAGTCGTAAATAAAACTTGTATTATATTTTAGAGCAAATGTAATACGCATGGAAGAGGCCGTACTAGCTAACGAAAAACGGTTACAAGAAAAAATGCACGAGTGCGCACAGCTCGGTGGCGAGTTGGATAGAGCCCGCGATGAGGCTGCGAGAGCACTACAGCGTGCTAATGAACGTACAGAGACTATACGCAAGTGAGTATTAAGCTGCTGTTTGATTATAATGGTTTACCGTTTTGTTAACGGACTTTAAAAAAAAGAGGAGGTTACCAATTCCATGAAATATTCTTTCATGTATGTTCAGTTTACGTTCTTTTTGTTTCGAAAACGTTCTAAATTCAGTGATGATCCCGGTTCCATATAAATAAGGACAAGTATGACGATAAAATTCATAAGTACACCATCAAAGTATTTTTAGACTAAGTATTTACCTTTTTTTTCCCTTGTAAGTACTTATAGTCTTTAAAATCAGCTATTGTTGTTTAGTTGTATGTGGAAGTTCAAGGCCGCTCAGCGAGCTATCGAAATGGATATGCTCGTAGTTTCTCTGCGTGAGAGATATCGTAAGGTGAAGTGGTAATGGGCCAACTATAAAAAACTATACTTACCAACTATTACTTTATCTCGAAGAACCAACAACCGATGGGGAAGAAAATTTTTTGAGCGGCAGCTTCATACTGGTAAATGAAGTGTAAAGCGTTAAATGGAGTGACGATCTGGTAAGAGATGGAGGAACTCGATGGATACAGTTGGCTCAGGACCATGCTTTGTGGCATTTCTTGGGGAGAAATATGTTCAGCAGTGATAGAGTCAAGTGACAGTTTCTGCTGTTGGACGGATGGGCTGGCTTGAACCGAGGAAGTGCCACAACCTCCGGAATACCGGCGTGAAGTAGAAGCTTGTTAGTGCAGGTAGCCGGAGTCTCAACTCCGCGCCTCTATAACGTGGTAGCGGAATTCAAAAATGAAAGACTACACGAGGAGGGTACCGGCACCTCTGATAATGGAGAATTCCTCTTTGGGCATCCATGATTAAGCTACCCTTTTCTCCCTGAGCGTGGGTGCTCAAACAGAACGATAAAACAATGACGACCCTCACGTTAGCCGTGGACTTCTGCAACAACAGTGGAGTTCATTCGAACCTTAATGCCATCCACTGCCATCTGGAGACGGCAAAGCCGACCATGGTCTTTTTAGCGGGTAGGCTTATAGGCTTCTCGAGAAATTGTGTAATTGGATTACCAGTTTTCTTGCTGATCGGAGCGTCGGATATTTATCGGAATTATCACGTATGGAATGACGTCCAGTTTCGTGATCACATGGAAGAGAAGGCCAAATTATCCTTTAAAATGCTTGGCGTGCTTAGCAGGGAGGGACAATATTTCATTCTGGCACTTCGCCTGCAACCTACAAGGCGCTGGTTCGGCCTCACATGAAATACTGTTTCCATCGCTGAGTCGGGGCTTTCCTCCTTCCTTTGATCGCATCCAGCGCAGAGCCTTGCAGTTCGAATCGTCGGCGATCGAGCACTTTCTGATCAGCTTGATGCTGCGAAGAGATGTTGCATCTCTTAGCGTATTCTATCATATCTACCACGAAGAGTGTTCGTAGGAATTGTTCGGACTAATTCCAGGCGCTCAATTTTACGATGGCACATCGCGAAAAAACTCAAGATACCGTCCATACTATTTGGATGATTGGTGGTCCACCAATGTGCGACTTACTAAAAGTTTTCTTCTCAGCACAACTTACTTCTAGAATCTAATAAAGAATGAATACTACTTATGGATCTTTAAGAAAAGAGTCTACTCTTTATTTAAAAGCCACCAAAGTAGTAAGTTGCAGTTGTTCATGGGCATGGGGGGTAGTCACTTACCATTAGGTGAGTTGCATGCTCGTTTGCCCCCCCTCATATATAAAAAGTGGATTTGCTTGTAATAGTTCAGGTGTTAGGCGCTGTTAATATCATAGAACGCCAATCACCCGAGTTCTGTACATTCCGTTCCATTCCTGTACTATCTTAAAACTTTTAGAATGAGTTAGGTACTTAGCATTCGTGTATGACCTTAATATATTCTTGCTAACTGAAAATCTTACATAGGTGTATGCAGACTACGATTGCTGAATTGGAAAGACAGCTTGCAGCCTCTAGGGCACAAGTTACGAACGCTGAAAAAGAACGCGAAGAAGTAAGTACTCTTTTGTAGTTTAAGAAATTATAAATAGGCGTAATAATAATAATGTTCTTTATACCATATAGAACAGTGGTAGCTCAGGGGCTTACCTAAGCTCGTGGCAAATTTCACAGTACGCGAGAAATCCGGGTTCGATCCCCGCTGGCGCCAAAGAAATTGTTAGCTACAATTTTATGCATTAATTTTAACTTGCTTGGCGGTGAAGGAAAACATCGTTATGAAACGTTCATATCTGAGAAATAAAAAAACGTTTCGGAGACATCAAGTCCACCAAGAAGCAATCTTGATCCTTCCTGTAAACCCTCTTATAAATGAGGGAAGGCTTGTGCCCAGCAGTGAGACATATAGACTGTAAACTTTTACACAGGTGGTGAGTGTAGTTTTATAACTATATTTTTAGATATGTCATGTAAATTACGCAGATTATATTCATTAACATTATAGTGATAGAGTCATGCTGCAACTGTATTATGGTTGCAGCATAAATGAGCCAGCAAGACCGGGTAAGCCAAGAATACCAGAGTAAAATAGCAGTATAATGATGCTGTGTTGTTTTAGTAAGTATAGGGAATCGGAGACCCTTTTTACTGGTATAGGCATTTGAGCTTTGTTCTCAGGGGTGATAACGCATCTGCATTATAATCTTAATCGAGGTTAGATTAGGTGTCCATGGATAACAGCATTCACTTAATCGGCTGGACTGTTTGCTCGTTTGTCATCCTTACTGTCATTAAAAAATATGTATAATGCACGCATAAGGTTCGTTGCACAGATTCTCCAACAATTTGCAAAATTGAAATACTATGGTATTTAGTATATTTTTCCGCCGAGATTAACATTTCTTTTAATATTTTTAGTCCCGTCATTTAAACACTTGAATTGAAAAGGGAACATACTAATTTAATGCTTGATTTTTGTAAAAAGATCTTGATTATTGTAAAAAGTAGGCTCGATTAAACATTTGAACTGTTAAAAAGAACACTTAAAACGTGATACAGAAACCCTGAAAATAACGTTTTGAATATAAATTACATAATGATGCCGGCGAATGTTGGTTAAATATATAAAAATTTGTCGTAGTCTAGTGATCGATATCCGACCGTAATTCATTAAAGTTTTAAGTGTGCATGTCAAGATACCTGGATATTACTATCAACTGCACATTAATACACAAAACAAATGTATTTAACATGCATAAACAAAATATTACATACATACTTCACATACTATTCAAAAAGGAACATTTATAAACACACAAAACTATGAAATTATTATTTTTTGGCAACATTTTAAAGTTCTTTGGTGACAATCTCTACTTCATGCGACTGTATGAGCATAGACTATTATGTACTTGACCTCGGCGGTATGAACGTAACAATATTCAATTTAATTTAATGAATTTGTAAGACATGATATATAAACTTTGGATTTCTTCACTCATTCTGCATATAAATTAACTATGCACAATCTCACACTCCTCAGTTTACGCAGTATGCTTAAAGTTTTCTCGTCACGGACATAGATAATGCTGCAACTTTTTTAATTCTTACTCTTCTTCGTCATCGTAAAGCTCACGTCGAAAAACTTGTGGCTGATCCGTATTCGTATTTAATTTAATACTTCGCTTAGCTTAATACTATATTATGTAAAACTTTAATATTGTCATTATTTATTACAGATACAATGCCGCATGCAGTGTCAAATAAAGCGTCTGAATGATAATTTCGAACAGGCTCAATTAAGAATTCTAGGGCTTCAAAGTCAAGTGCAAACATTAAGACGGACTGTCTCAAGCACAGATGGTGAAGGCGACGGCGACATACAAGAATGTGCTTGCAAGAGTTTCTTTGAAAACCCTTAGAAAACTTGTTACAACAGTAATTTGTAATTATAAATCTATCTTTTCGTTTTTTTGTAAATTTTTATTCTTTGCTATTAAATGTGTTAAGGTTGTTTTTCATCTGAAGTTGCATCGCCAATTGTTATAATGAAAATCTTTTACTTTTTAATTGAAAATAATTAAAAAGACAAATAAATTTACAGTTAAATAAATAGTAAAATGCGTGCTTACTTAAGTATTTAGTAATGAAAATTGAAAATGGGATACGTTTATATTGAGCGTTGAAATAAAATACATATAATATTTAGTTTTATATCGATATTTATTTGGTAATTTCGTTATAACATTTTCTGCTAATGATAATCAATCTACCGACTTGTTATGAAATAGATCCTTAAATTTAATCTATGAAATACTAAATTTATTACAAAAAGGCTTTCTTTAACATTAAAAAAAAAACTGAAATTGCAGCAATGAAATGAATTCAATCAAGGCTACGTTTTCATTTCGGCTACCGCCATCTCTTTTATAACATGCACGTTACCCATAGTAGCGAAGCAAGAACGCAGCGATTCTTGTGCAATATGAGTCTCGCGATGCGGCATGCATGCTACTTCATGGTACAAGTCGACAGCTTCGTTTAAAACATCTATAGCTTCCAGAGGCCGTTGTTCGTCCATCAGATTAGCTCCTTCCTGTAAAAGTATATTTAAAAATGTTTTGAATAATATCTTGAATACCATTGTTTCGGTCATTATTTCCACCATATATTAATGAATTTAATATGAAACGTTAGTTGATATTGTCATTTTATGGCATTATTAAGATGTCAACAAGACCATTTATTTTACCAATTCTTTTTTTCAGTTTTCTCAAAAAAATCCCGACCTTTTGGATAAAATTTAACCTAGATCCCTCCTGGCATTGCTATCTATCTGTTCGGGATGTTTAATTTCAATCGGTTCAGCCTAACTAAATTATCTTCTAAATTAATTTAGTTTTAGACAGTTTAATTTTACTACAATGGTCATCCTACATCTACTCCTACATCTACTCCTACATCTATCTTAGGTCTACATTTTACTAAAACGGCATTAAAACAACTCTCTCAGCTCAATAAAATGCAGTTATTTCGATATTCCGGACAGGCCCTTTAATTTTCTTATTTAAATAGCAACACTTGCTGTACCAGTTATCTCTAGCAAAAGCAATACTTATTCTTAGTAGTTATTCCATATTTAGAGCTTAATGTTAAAAAATGTTACCGGTGCAGTTAAGTATCATCATCATCATTATCATCACTACCACTACCACCACCATCACCATCAACATTACCATCATCATCATCATCATTATCACCATGACAGCCCTTCGTAAGTCTACTGCTGAACAAGGAATGTTACAAAGCACAGTCCTGAGCCACCTGCATCATTCGGACTTCCTACTTGTCTTAACAGGTCGTCACTCCATCTAGTTGAGGGTTGCCCTACACTTCACCTACCGGTACGAGGCTGCCACTTAAGACCCTTTTATCACCATCAGGTGTCGATTCTTCGAGCTATATGGCCAGCCTATTGTCACTTCAGCTTACTAATCCGTTGGGCTATGTCGGTCAATCTGGTTCTACTGCGGATATCCTCATTTCTAAGTTTATCACGCAGAGAAACTCCGAAAATTCGCATAAAAAGATAATATAATTATAATGTGTTTAATAGAAAGTGAGAATGACTATGTCACAGGAACCTTTTATTGAATGTTATTTTATTTTTTGAAATACCAACCTTTTATTAGTTTAATACGCTTAGAATATCTTAAATATATATCTTATCTTTTCTAAGCTTAAAATTTCTTTCTAAAGAACTCTTCATTCAGAGAAACTAAAAATTCCTGTTTTGCTGGTGATACTGTTTTATCATCTTTTAATGTTTCATTAGGTCCGATGAATATGGAAAAGCATGAATTGCACAGGGATAAATATCCCGGAACAATTAATTATTTGTTGGTAATACAAGTAGTTGTTACGTGCGAGATTTGAACCTGCGCTAAGTAGCTTTCAAAATCTAACATAGTGCAATAGAAACAGATCGGTTAAAAACTTATTTTTTAAACGTCGGTTGCGTAAAATAATCCACTACCCCCACATCATCCTATGGTTATAAAATTATAAGAGGCAACAAGAAGAAATAAATCGGAGATGGTCAGCTACATCGTCATGATAATGACTCGAAATAATACTCGCTTCTCTTGTGCGCTAATTTTACACGTTTTAATAATCGGTTACTTAAGTTCCGTCTATCGTACATTATCTTATAGTACAAGTGACTTAAATCCACTTTTTTAATTTAAAAATTGTGTTTTATTTAGTAATTGTTTATATTGCAAGGAGACTCGATTTAGAGAAGTTTTGTACGATCCAGATGTTGATTTATACGTAAATTGTTTATCTGACCTGAATTCACTGCGATGTTCTGTTTTTATAATGTGACGGCAAATGGTAGTAATAGTAATTACGTTTTTAATAATTGTACTTAAAAATACAGTTCAAGCTAAAGATGTACAAAAAATTTGAATGAATTTATGTCAAGTACATTTTTGTATTTCCTGATCAAATTATTTAATGTTTTGTTTGTAATTTAAAGTATTCTAATAGATGTTACAAATTAAAGTTCTATTGTTCTGTATTTATTATTATGTTTCAATACATGTTAGATTTTTTTAAATTATAAAATATTATACATTTTATGCACGACTTAATTAATTTTCGCAAGTATACTCGTATTACTGGTTTCGTCACAATAAATTACCTGCTTCTAAACAAAGTTACCTGGTGCAAATAAACATCAAAAAGCTTTTGTGTTTCACACGGTCGTTGGTTTAGACTGAAAACTGACCTAACGACGTTAGTTCTAGTTAATTATTCATAGTATGTAGCTTACAGCGACAGCTAAATGCACGCTGAATTGTAATTAGTTAACACAAAGAGGAGTCATGAAAACGTTGGCTGGAAATTCTATTTTGAAATTTGATCTCTAAGGAATCTATTTTTAATTAAAAAAAGTGAGGCCTATTTTGACTCCAGAGTTTGGTGAAAATATTTTTGCTGAAAAATTAAGTTCCAGTAAAACTGGTAATTTAATACCCAACTTGATTTCAACGTTCTCTTTTTTTTCATATTGTCATGCGATTTTGAGCCATGTTCAAAATTTCTGTAGCACATCGGCTAGTTGGATATATAACAAAACTCTTATTATCTCTCGATTTTAGGTCACAGGATAAACTATTTTTTATAAGCCAACGTAAAAAACTAGATGGCCTAAAATGTTTCTAATTATACTATAAATAGGCATCTCTCATATCTGGCCTCAGAGGGTATCTCTCCATACATTTGGCATAGTTTCCATGCTTGGCATTTGAGTTGGCAATTTTTTTTATTTTTGGTTGTTATTAGGAAGACGCTGCCCATTTCCTGGCTTGTTTGCCTTTGTCTCTTTGTCAATCACGAGATGATATGAGGTACTGGATGACCTTCTAAATGCAGATATCGTTCAATACTACTCGTGACCGAAGCCTGCAGTCAAAACCAAGTCTGTCAACCAAAAGTAGTTTTGAACGCGAAGCAGTTCTGACTGTAACTCTGGTTTCTTCGAAATGGCTTTAACGATTTGTACGAAATTTTGTGCTTGTTATGTGTCATCCCTGAGAAAAATGTGAAAATGACAAGTAACAGTAGTCTAATGATTCGGCACAGACTGCAAACTCAGAAAGTCGTAGGTTCGTATCCATTCGATTATTGTGGTGAACGACTCTTAACGCAAGCATTTTTAAACATACCTGGAGTGGTTAACGTTATTGTTGTATTCTATTTTAGAATTATATCTCAGTACAGCTATGGCTTCAAGAAGCATTAAGTAAGGTGCGGTCTCTTGGTATTTTCTTGGTGTTTGTATTTCAAAGGAACTTTATTAATGTTTTGGTTCGTTTAATAGGGCCCTAATTTTCCCTTTGCCTTAACAATATTTTTGTAAAACTTATAAAAAATTAAAGCAAACATTTTTTAAATTTAATTTAAGCCGTCCGAGTGTAAGGGGAATATGCAAACTTTTTTCTTAAAATCCTAATCTCGCCTTCATTTCATGAACTCTATTCACTGTTGGGCGTAACTTGTGTTTTAAAATCAGACGTCTATACTATTAGTGGATTGGATACATTTTAACTTGACATAGTTATACTTTTAATAGTTGTATCTAAGTTAAATTACATTATTCATTTGAAGGGAAATAGTCGATAATTGTAAAATTTAAATTTTACAGGAAAAATTGTTTACTCATGAACGCGTTGGAAAATGAAAGTTATTTTTTTTGAAATGAAAGTTAAATTTTTTATAGAACCTTTTCTTGATGTTGACAATGAATTAAATGTCAAGATTTATGAAAACATTTAAAAATTGTGAGTATAGTCCATAGACTTATTATATTGCGTATAGTCGTATTAATTTATTTTACATTATCAAAATCACACAAATTCACTATTGTAGGCGAAAAAATAATTTTAATTTTAAAGAAAATCACAAATGTTATGAGATCAAAGATAAAATAAAAGTCTCTTTAGCCACATTATTTTTAGTCAAAGAGATTTCAATACTTCTAATACTTAATTGTCTTTGTTATTAGTCGTTTTAAAACGTTCACAATCGCGAAAACAGGGATTTAAAAGAATGTTAAAAGCGTGGGTTCGCTCCACATTTACAAAACCTCGCAAGATTTACATGCAATACTTGGCTTATTTGAACGGGTTTGTGGTATGCACTGGCAATTCAACGTTCTCTTCTTATATTCATTAACAGTGGAACTTTTTATTGATTTTGAATCTTCAAAATTATACCTCAAAAGAGTGCATGTTGTTGTAAATGTGAAACACTGACTTTCAAAATATAAGTCCATCGAAATATCTTACTGTATTTATCATAGAATACTATAATGCACAATAGAATGGCTGTCAACCTTATTTTGTACCGTGGGTCGTCGTCGCCGGGAGCACACATACATGCAATTACGTTGTATTATCAGTTAATCACTACCAAAAAACCCGATCGCTGTGTTGACAGACGGATTTTAATACATATTTATTTGTAAATAGCGTGTAATTCGGCACTTTCTAAAAAATTTGCATGCGAAATTTGGAAACGATTGTAACGTCAAAACACATCTCGTGTTGATATTTATACGTGTGAATTGACGTGTTAGTGGCATTTTAGTGGCTAAACGGGCTCCGCCCACAACCACGTTATGTATGTATTATAGTATTGTATGGTCTTTATCATGCCGCCATTTATTAAGATTTACTAGGGTTTTTAATGTCATAATACACTACTGTGTACTTATGATACAATTTATTATTCGTAACACGACTATCAAAAGTCTGAGCATAGAGCTACTTGCCATAGTTGCAGCGCGTGGCAGCTGCAATTTTTTTTTAAATATTTTGTGTTGTTATCAGGAAGGTGTCACTGCTCTACTCCTGTTTGATTTCTCTCTATATTTTTTTATCTAGATAATAACATCAGGTGGCATTTATTATTTAATATTTTTCAGCGATATAAAATCCTAAATAATGTCGGAGATTAATTCAGGAGTGTTTGTTTTGGAAACACGAAAAAGTAACCTTTTTGTTAACTACTAACTGGTTGCTTGGAATA